ACTGTCTCTGTCTCTCTCTGGGAATAACACACACTCTATGGCAAAAACAAACAAACAAAAATACCTCATCAAACTATACTGCAAAAAACTAAATAAATAAAAAAATTAGTTTTTTTCCACATAAATTAAATCTTGGGTCATTTTTCCCTTCTCACATAGATGCTGTTAGACAAGGAAAGAACAAAGCATAGTAAGGAAGAATTAGCAGGAAATGAAAACCACCACCTGCCTTAAGGATACTCCTTTCAGCTATTGTCTATTACTGCTAAATTGGCTTTATATACTATTTTCAAAACATCTTTAAGCCAAGCATTTATTTAAACACAGCCCGAATAATCTTAATCTATATCCTCCCTAGAGGAAGGCAAAATTGCATTTTACCACATGAGTAGGATAAAAGTTATGATTTGTCTAAGACTTCAGTTTTTCCCTTAAAATGATATATAGTGATTGAATGTTTAAAAAAATAATGAGAATAAATAATAATAATCTGAAAAAAATGAAAAGTTATTTGATGGTGATGATGTGGATAGTAATGTTTTTGTCTTGACTGATATGCATGGTAATCATGCTGGAAAAAGAAACATAATATACTGTAAAGACATATGTAATTCAATGTAATATAAAAAAGATTATGGTAATAATAAATAAAATAAAATTTAAATAAATAAATGAGAAGTCACAGGGGACCAGCAGATGGTGTAATGGTTATGTCACTGGACTGCCACATAACTGACCATGGTTCAAGTCCTGGACCTGGCAATTTAAAACTCACGCACGCTGTGTGAGCATGCATGCCAAAGATCCCAAGAGAGGAATGGAGGAAAGGAATGCAGCATGGCCACCCCCCCCCCAGGGGTGATTTCTCGCTTTCTGTTTATCTTTCTTTGTCTCTCCAGCAAGCACATGTGACCTACAGCAAAAAATCTCTTTAAAAAAAAAAATAATAATGGAGAAGTCACTTTAGGAGGGGATCTTCATAAAGTTCATGGAAAATTAGTATTATGGAAAAAATATGCACAGATTTCAAATTTTTTCTTGCACCAAAGTAAATTAAAACTTTAAATTTACTTTTCCATGAATTTCTTGAAGTCCCCTTGTATGAAAAGACAAGCTTAAGTTATCAAATTAGGGACATAAACAAGGACAAGGGATTATTAATTTATGCTCTTTCTTCATTCTTTTATAAATTATCAAAACTGGTATTTAATTTCCTATCCTGCTTGAATTTATTTAAAATTCCAAAGAATCGAGCATAAGAAAGATGCTATCATCATACTCAATAATGGTTGTCTACTCTTAAGGACACTGATATAATCTAAAAATCCAAGTCCTACAAAGCTTCCACGGTGACTAGTCCCCTCACTGAACACTGAAGGAAATTAATAGAATTATTTTATACAATGAAGTCCACTGCTTATATTCCAAGTAGCTTATTATATTGATAGTCTACTTCCAAGAAGATAATTTTTTTTTTTGGAGAGGTTTTTGCTATAAGGCGCTCGCCCGAAAGAGAGAGTCAGAGACAGAAAGCAAGAAATCACCCCCCGAGGGGATGATCACACCACAATCCCTTCTCCTCCATTCTTCTCTTGGGATCTTGAGCACACACACACATGTGCCCGGCGTGAGCTTAAGCCACCAGGTCCACGACTTGAACCAGGGTTGACTACGTGGGAGTCCAGCCACATAGCCATTATGCCAACTGCTGGTCCCAATAATATTTTTTTTTTAATAGGAGAAATTTGTTACTGTTATAAGCAAAGAGAGAAAGATCAAGACTTAGCTCAGGACCAACCATCGAAAATCCTGATAGGGGAAAGAAGTGAAGAAAAAGAATTGCAGTATAGTCACACTCCACTGGAGGGTGATATGTTTCTTTCTCTAGCTTCCTCTTTCTCTGACAAACATAGGCACCCTCTGGGAACTTAAAACAAAAACAAAATGTAGAGCAGAGGCCCTGGATTACATTTATGCCTCCAGAAGTAACATTATTTATTTACTTATAAATAAATAAATATATATTTTATATATAAATAGGACAGAAAGATACAAAAGGAAAAAATGTGTTGAAAGTCATTACATAAGGAACTTGCAGCATGAAGTAACTATGAAAGTTCTATTGCACATTAAAAAGTTAACACCCCCAAAACTAATGAAGATACTTAAATACAATTGCTTTCACATAAGTTCTAAAAGGGAAAAGAATTTTGTTAATAAAAATTTTCAGAAAAGATGAATACTGAAAAAGTAGCAACATGGCATACAGCCATGCATTGCTAACAACAGGAGGAACACGTTCTAAGAAATGAGTCGCTAGGTGAGTTCATTATTGTGCACACATCACACAGTGCACTTACACAAACCTAGATCCCTACAGTGTACTACACACCTAAGCTATGTGGTCTATAATGAGTTGGGACCACTGCTACACATGCAGTCTATCATTGACCGAAACATCGCTGCGTGCCACTTAACTCTATCACTGTTCTGTGGGAACCGGGAGAAAGGGTTCTAAACATTATTCACTGATATCAAATCTAGAATATAAATAAAAACCATGTCAAATTAAAAAATAACCACAACACAAAACAGAATAAAATAGTAACTGAAAGATGAAGATTAAGCAATCATAAACTTTACAAGCTAAATCGAGGTTTCCTAAATTTCCCATAGTTTCTCAACTGGAGGCAGTTTTAGCCCAAGGAAGGGTATTTGGTAACATTTTTGATCATCACAACTGGAGGGAGTGCTACTATCACTTGTGGGTAGAGGCCAGGGCTGCAGGTAAATATTCTACAATGTGCACTCACGTGTGTACACACACATTCTACCACAAATAAAAGGGAGAATACGCCAGAGCAAGTGAACCTTGATATCCCTTCCCAGAACCACTTGGAAAGATTATAGACTGGATCTACACAACATCACTTTCTGTATTTCTAAAATATTATAAAAATCTATTCACTCTTGGGATTTTAACAATGCATTTTGAGTTCCAAAAGTCCACTCCTTGCTAACAAGTAGTCATTGGATTAACATCAGCAGCACGTATTAAACACCAAACTAGCCTCCTTTATGAATCCTTGGTCTCTAGAAAAATCTTGCTTTTGGAACCAGCAGATGGCATAATGGTTACATCATACATCATTTCTCGTTTTCTGTATCTCTGGCAAGTGCACTTGCCCTATAGCAAAAATACCTCTTAAAAAAAAAAAAAGAAAGAAAGAAAAGAAAAGAAAAGAAAACTCTTGCTCTAATAATCCAAGATTCAGAGAGCAAGTCCATTTTAATTTAGCTAAATTTTTATTATTTTATTTAAATCTTGTCTTGGTCTATACCTTTTTCATTTAGTTATATCCAAAAGGTAGCATTTCAACACCTACCTCCCAGTATACCTTGAAATATTTTTTTATACTCTCCTCTGTAATTTCTCCAATTTCACTAAATATTTTTTGAAGTACAATGAACAAAACTTCTGAAAACAGGACATACACACACAAATATATAATCAGTACATGGATGAAACCAGATTTTGGATTTGTATTTGATACCCTTAATTGCCACAGAGGATGTGCACTCATCAGAGAAAGAGAGGCAGCATACTCCACAACGGGGTGTAGTCATACACAATCCTTCTTCCTCCATTTTTCCACTCTATCAGGATTTGGGGCTTGCATGCACATATACCCAGTGTGTTTTCCAAGTAGCCAAGGCCAGGAATCTAACTCCAGTCAATCACATGGGATCCAACTTCCTATGTAGAGGACTTAACCACTGCACTCTGGGGCTAGTCCTTCAATACTCTTACTCAAAATGACATATCAGGGGACCAGCAGTTAGCGTATTGGCTATGTCGCTGAACTCCCATGTAGTCAATGGCGGTTCGAGTCCCGGACCCAGTGGCTTAAAACTCATGCCAGGCGCGTGTACATGCGTGCCCAAGATCCCAAGAGGAGAATGGAGAAGGGACTGCAGCATGGCCACCTCCCCTGGGGGACTGATTTCTCACTTTCTGTATCTCTGTCTGTCTGGTGAGCACACACACTCTATAGCAAAACCTCTCAAAAAAAAAAAAAAAAGACATATCAGAATCATTTTTCATATAAAAAAGAAAATCAATACACTTCAAGCTTAGACAAGATGAGCTTATAGCACAGTGTTCAACTAAATGCAATTGATTTGAAAAATGTTACTATAGGTAATTATGGGTATATTAAAGTGTTTTATATATATCTTTATGTACCTATGTATCTATATATACATATGTATGTATATACATATGTGCATATAAACTATATATAGTTTATACACCTATATGTATGCATATAAGTTTTTATATAGATATGTGTAGTTTTTTTTTAAGGTTTTTGCTACAGGGTGTGTGTGCTTGATGGAGAGAGACAGTGAGAAGTAAAGTGAGAAATCACCCCCTGAGAGGGGATGGTCACATTGCAATTCCTTCTCCTCTGGTCCCTTCCTGGGATTTTGGGCATGCATGTACACATGCCCAACGTGATTTTCAAGCCACCAGGTCCAGGACTTGAACCACGGTTGGCCATGTGGGAGTCCAGCACTACCGGGTAGACTTAAGGCCTTTTATAAATATTAATATTTAATTAAATATTAAACCACCATGCCACCAAGGTCTATTATAAATATTTGGAAGACAGAAGTAAAATTGAATAGGGTTACAGAGATGACTTCTTCACGAAGGAGTTTTAAATACATTGGCAAAAAAGAAAAAAATAATAACCAAGTATATTAGTATAACATAAAAATCTATTGCTGAAAATATATTTATCTGTTATCCATGCATCCGAATGGAAGTAAAAATATTTTAATAAAATATTTTAAGAATAGTTTAAGCTTTACTTATTATATGAGCCAGATCAGTGATTTATTTCTTTATGGAACTCTTTTACAATTGCTTCAGGGTACTATATCTTCTTAAAGCTAGCATATACTTAATGCTTAATAATGCAGAAAAATTCACTCACCATTTCAGTGGTGTGCCTTCATATTCAAACCATATCTCACTAATGTCTTCTTGTCTCATAACCTTCTGAAAGTGCTTTTTCACTTTGTCAGTTACCAACGTCAAATAACTTACTCTTGGCAAAAGCAACTGAAATGAAAATTCGTAAAACCATATTTATTTACTAGTTATTTTTTCCAAAAAAATACACTAAATAGATTTTTGATTCACTAAATAGGTTTTTGAGAATATCAAAGACTAATGTTTAGGATGTTTACTGCTATTTCTTATGGGGACATTACTTAAAGTATGGCTTGCAGCATAAATTCCTAGACTAATCAACACAAAGTTATCTACAATCTTTCTGAAACACTTTACAATAAAAATGCAACAAAATTAGTTATTAGACTATTTACATTATTATCAAATTTAAGTTAAAACTGAAATGATTCACTTCAGTTAAACTATCCTGAAAAGATAATCAACTTGGTCCTACTGCATACCTTGATTTATCAACCTGGAATTCTCTCTTCTTTTTTTTTTTTTTTTGGCAAAGAGTGCTTTTTCACTTTGTCAGTTACCAACGTCAAATAACTTACTCTTGGCAAAAGCAACTGAAATGAAAATTCGTAAAACCATATTTATTTACTAGTTATTTTTTCCAAAAAAATACACTAAATAGATTTTTGATTCACTAAATAGGTTTTTGAGAATATCAAAGACTAATGTTTAGGATGTTTACTGCTATTTCTTATGGGGACATTACTTAAAGTATGGCTTGCAGCATAAATTCCTAGACTAATCAACACAAAGTTATCTACAATCTTTCTGAAACACTTTACAATAAAAATGCAACAAAATTAGTTATTAGACTATTTACATTATTATCAAATTTAAGTTAAAACTGAAATGATTCACTTCAGTTAAACTATCCTGAAAAGATAATCAACTTGGTCCTACTGCATACCTTGATTTATCAACCTGGAATTCTCTCTTCTTTTTTTTTTTTTTTTTGGCAAAGTTTTTGCCATAGGGTGCGTGCACTCACCAGAAAGACAGAGAGAGAGAGACAGAAAGCAAGAAATCACCCCCCCAGGGAGATGACCACACCACAATCCCTTCACCTCCATTCTCCTCTCGGGATCTTGGGTGCGCCCAGCGTGACTTTAAGCCACTGGGTCTGGGACTTGAACAGCGATTGACTACATGGGAGTGCAGCAACATAGCCATTATGCCAACTGCTGGTCCCTCGATCTGGAATTCTCTACTGGTCCATCATGTTCTGCAGTTGAGGAGAGAACAGTGCCCTAGGCAAAGCCTCAACTAGAACAGTAAGAAAGAGGTCAGTGGTTTTCCCCCAGGAAAGACACCAGAAAGAAAACATGACAGTTTTAGAAAATTGGTTAGGATTTATATGAAGAAATCTCAAGTCAATAAAGGGATGAGATTAGCAAAATTTCAAGTTTTCCCTCCTTTGTTGTAGGAGGCCATTTCTTGGTTTCCTACGTTTCTACCTATTTTGCTAGTAAAATTGCTTCATTACCCTCTTTCAGCTCTGCTTTTATGAGGCTAACTACATCATTTTTCATGCTGCTTATTCAAGAAATGTCTTTTGCTCAGGGAATCAAGTTGAACTACTCAGCTAGTGAACACACACAAAGAGAAACATGGTGGTTGGAACTGCTACTTAATCACTGAAGTCCAAGATAAGAGGCCTCAACTAGGTAGAGGAACGTGGCAGGTCCTAGGACCTGTAGGGTCCAGCGGGGGAGGAAGAGAGGTAGCTGGCATGCTCCAGTGTGGAACAGAAGCTACCACACTTTACAAACCATCTGTTGGATAGTTATTAGTGATTAAATAATATATATGCTCTTCTTTTATAAAGAAATAAATGTTTTTAGTACAGAAACATACCAATTCTTTCAAAGAAAAAGCACTGTTTTACAGGAAGTATTACTTCTGTTTTACATGTAGCTTAAATGACTCGCCAAAATCATGTTACTAAATAGGGAAAAGATTTGTTGGAGCCTCAGAAGTGACCAAATCAACAGAGGAAACCTGGAAGTCTCCTAATCAAAACAGCATGATATAACAGCCATTTAAAAAAAAAATCATTGTAATCGAGTCAGCAAGTGGTACAGTGGCTAAGGCAGTAGGATACTACATGGCCGACCACACAGTTCAAGTCCCGCTAGTTCTAGACCAGCGAAAGTTAAACCCAGAAACTTCAAAAACTCACCAGGCCCATATGCATGTGTGCCAGTCCAAAATCCTGAAAGGAGAAATTAAAGAGAGGAGATTGCAGCATAGCCATTCCCTATAGGGAAGGTGCTCTCTGTCTCTCTCTGGGGAGTGCATATGCTCTCTGGCAAATATTAAAAGAAAGAAAGAAAGAGAGAGAGAGACAGAAAGGGAGGGAGGGAGGGAGAAAGGAAGAACCAACAGGCGGTGTGGTAGTAAAGATGCTAAATTCATTCATGGCCGACCACCTCAGAGTTGGTGGCTTAAAAAATCAAGCCAGGCTGGGGACCAGCAGGTGGCGTGGTTGTTAAGGCACTGGACACTCCCACACGGCTGACCATGGTTTGAGTCCCAAAACCTGGCGGCTTGCTTCCTCACTTTCCCTCTCTCTCTCTCTGGTCAAATTAAAATAAATGAATGAATAAATAAAATTAAATAAATACTTAAAAAAAAAATCAAGCCAGGCATGTGTGCATGCATGTCCAAAATCTCAAAAGAAAATGAAAAAGAAGGGACTGTGACATGGGCCAACCTCCTGGGGTGGGAGGGGAGGGGGCGTGATTTCTCACTTTTCCTTTCTCTGTCTCTCTGGCAAATGCATATGACAAAAAACTAAAAAAAAAAAAGGAAGAAAACAAAAAATAATTATAATCAATTAGTCTAGTAAGGTCCACTTTAATAAATCCAGAACTTCAATTTTAAATGTTATTAGGCATTACACAGTAACCTGCTCTGTAGAAGTATTAAACCTGGGGGGGATAGTAAGAAGGAAAATATATCACGTTTATTAGTATGAGTATCAGCTTCTGATTTTGGAGAGTGTTGTACTACATGCCTACAGTTCACTCAAAGTTGCTAAAGAATCCACAAAGGATTTTTTATAGACTGAAAACTTCTTTACAATAAGGAGTAAAGAATATTAGAATGCAACCTCCATTAAGACAGGGATTCGTCTGTTTTGTTCAGTGCTACATTCCCACTACCCAAAATAGTGCCTGCTTTATAAAGGCGTACAATAAATATTTGATGAATAAATCAGAAGCCCAAATGTTAAGTGGGGCAAAGAGCCAAAAACAATAACTAAAAAATAATTCTTAAGGCAGAATTCACACTGAAACGTAGTTACAATCTTCTATTTCCAAGTGGCCTATGATCTATAAGAAGAATATCCATTGTAAAACTAAGAAATAACTCCAAGATTTAAGAACGACTATATTAGAGTACACATAGGCACAATTTATCTAGGAAATATTTAAGGAGTTAAAAATGAAAAGGAAATAACAGAGAGACTATCCTGCCGTTTACCCTGGACCATAGTGCTCACTGTTCTTCTTAGGTGCACCCCACTGGCTTACTTTCGTTTCTTCCTTCCTGTCGAGCAGCCTTGTTAAGTATATCTGCACTGTTGTGCAACCATCACAGCTATCCATTTCCGAACTTCATCATCCCAATGGAATCTGTGAACTCATGACTCAATAGCTCCCCATCTCTCCATCCCCCAGCTCCCGGTAACCATCATTTTACTTTCTATCTCTATGAATTTGACTATTCCAGATACCCCCTTGTAAGCAGAACCACATAATACGTGTCTTTTTGAGTTTTCCCTAACCTACTTAGCATAATGTCATCAGTGTTCTTTCAGTATGACAAGGATTAAGCCAGGGCCAGCTGGCAACATGGTGGTTAAAGTGGCTGGATCCCACACGGCTGACTGCAATTTCTGTCCCAGATCCAAAAGCTCAAAAAACACACTGGGCAAGTGTGCATGCATACCCAAAATTCACAGAGAAGGGGACGTGGCATGGCCATCCTACTCAGAAGTTGCTTTCTCACTTTCTTTCCCCCCCTCCCCTTTTTCTCTCTGGCAAGTACACATGCCCTGTAACAAATTTTAAAAAGAAAGAATTAAATAAACAGAAAAGAAAAAATAAATATGGAAAGGATTAATTCTGTATAGGGATATTATCAGGTAAAATGCAAAACTGATCATTCTCTTATTCCTCACTTAGCATTGGTATAGAGTACTCTAGGAGTCTTAGACAACTGACTTGGGACTTTTTTACACCACTTATAAGGGACACTTACTTACACTGTAGCAAGGAATGCATAAGTTTCTGAAAAAGATATCCACAAGATGATTTCTTTATGCCAAGTCCTATTCTATCTCACAATTCTCAATTATAAAATTAGAGGTTTACTTATCTAGAACAAAAATAGAAGTAAAATATACTAGAATTTTTTCTACTTCAATCAAAAAGGGAAGTAAAACATATTAGAATTCTGTTCCACCCCAATGTGTAAGGCATCTACTAGGCAATGAAGTGACAGCACTAAATGAGACAGAGTCATTCCTTTCATTGAGCGTATAGGCTAGAGAAGACAGACATTAAACACAAAAGTACGGGATCAGCAGTTAGTGTAATGGCTATGTCGCTGAACTCCCATGTAGTCGACCGCGGTTCCAGTTCTGGACCCGGTGGTTTAAACTCACACCGGGCGCATGTCCATGTGTGCCCAAGATCCTGAGAGGAGAACAGAGGAGAAGGGACTGCGGTGTGGCCATCCCCCCAGGGGGGTGATTTCTCACTTTCTATCTCTCTGTCACTCTCTGTCTTTCTGGCAAGCACACATGCCCTATAGCAAAAACCTCCCCCCCCCAAAAAAAAACACACACACACACACACACACACACACACACACAAAAGTACAAATGTGATGAATGGAAGGACAGAGTAAAGAATGAACAAATAGCAAAGGAATTCCACCTATCCAGGGGCTCAGGAAAAGTCTTAATAGGAAGTGTATTTCAAAGCAACAGTCAAAAAGCCAACAGGAGTGGGTATAAATGTTTGGGCATGGATGCAGGTAAGCAATGCTTCCACCTATTTCAGACTATGGACATTGCAAGACAAAAGGCTTGGAATAAACAATGGAGATACAAAGATTGGCACAGCACTAAATGAGACAGAGTCATTCCTTTCATTGAGCGTATAGGCTAGAGAAGACAGACATTAAACACAAAAGTACGGGATCAGCAGTTAGTGTAATGGCTATGTCGCTGAACTCCCATGTAGTCGACCGCGGTTCCAGTTCTGGACCCGGTGGTTTAAACTCACACCGGGCGCATGTCCATGTGTGCCCAAGATCCTGAGAGGAGAACAGAGGAGAAGGGACTGCGGTGTGGCCATCCCCCCAGGGGGGTGATTTCTCACTTTCTATCTCTCTGTCACTCTCTGTCTTTCTGGCAAGCACACATGCCCTATAGCAAAAACCTCCCCCCCCCAAAAAAAAACACACACACACACACACACACACACACACACACACAAAAGTACAAATGTGATGAATGGAAGGACAGAGTAAAGAATGAACAAATAGCAAAGGAATTCCACCTATCCAGGGGCTCAGGAAAAGTCTTAATAGGAAGTGTATTTCAAAGCAACAGTCAAAAAGCCAACAGGAGTGGGTATAAATGTTTGGGCATGGATGCAGGTAAGCAATGCTTCCACCTATTTCAGACTATGGACATTGCAAGACAAAAGGCTTGGAATAAACAATGGAGATACAAAGATTGGCACAGTTGAGCCATCTAAGAAAAGTTAAATATGATCAGAATGTAGAGTTGGGACAGAGTGGAACAGAAACAGCAAGGGGCCAGATCATGGAGAACTTTGTAAATTACAGTAATTACCCTAAAGATGATGAAGTCATTAAAGGTTTTAAGCAAGCAGGTGATAAGATCAGGTACTGTGTTTGGAAAGATAACTCTAACTGCAAATGAATTAGAAAATGAAATTAGAAATTAGAAAAAATTAGAAAATGAAAAGAAAGAAAGAAAACTGAATGCAGAGAAACTGATTTCAGCTCTGCAGAAATCTATCGGTCTTTAAGTAGTGGTCCAAGAGGTAGCAGTGGGAATGAAAGGAATCAAGTAAGTTGGAGGATGATCAGATAGATGTAAAGTCAGCTTAGACTAAGTGACTAAATGTTAGGGATATGGGAGGAGACATGAGAGATTGAGTCCCAGGGTTCTGGTAAGAATAACTGATTAGATGGATAGAATAGGTCTATGTACCAAAGTAGGAAAGGAACAATGGTAGATGACAAGATTTCTAGCACTAAAGGGGATGGGTAGAGTGTCAAACATACTCAGTTTGAGTTCTTTCAAGATACCTAAGTGAAGATCTCCAACACAGATATATATATCTATATATATCTGGAGTTCAGGAGAAAAAATATTGAAAGTTGTCAAGATACAAATGTTTGACGACGACAAAAATGGACAAGCGCTCCAGGGAAAAACATAAAATAATAATAATTATTATTGCAAAACCCCAAATAATGCCAACATTGAAGAACAATAATAGAGAAAGAGAGAGAGAGAGAGAGAGGCGGACCAGCAATTGGCGTAATGGCTATGTTGTTGAACTCCCATGTAGTTGACCACGGTTCAAGTCCTGGACCCGGTGGCTTAAGCTCCGCCAGGTGCGTTTGCGTGTGTGCCCAAGATCCTGAGAGGAGAATGGAGGAGAAGGGACTATCTTTCTTTCAAGCACGCATGCCCTATAGCAAAAACCTCTTGGGAAAAAAAAAAAAGAGAGAGAGAGAGAGAGAGAGATCTGGCAAAAGTACAGAAAGAAGAGAAGAAAAGGAAAAAAGAGGCAGAAGCAAAATCAGGATCATGAGGCATCGTGGAGCAAGAGGACAGTGCCACAAGATGAAGAGAGAAGCCACCATCAAATACTGCTGAGAGATCAAGCAAATGAAAATTCAACAACAGACTCCAAGTTTGGCAAGAAGATATCATTAGTGACTTTAACAAGCAGTTTTGTTGAAAGAGTACCAAAATGTTATTACAATCAACTAAGTACTGAACAACCTTTTCAAGAAGTCTGGTTGCCAAGGGAAAGCATGGGGCCAACAGAGGATTGTTTTTAGGACAAGCAAGGTTTTATGACAACACAGATGCTGTAAAGGAGCTAGTAGATAAAAACTTGAAAGTACAATAAATACAGAAGGCGCAGGTGTAGGAGGGAGAATATTAGATACCCTCAGCTTCCTGAGAAGGCAGGAGATCGAAGAGGAAGAATTCCTCCATTTTAAAAGGAGGAAATAATGCAGACAGGTTTTGCAGATTTGGTGGTAGAAAGTTTAGGAAGGTTCTATCACATGGTTTCTATTTGTTAAGTAGGAAGTGAGATCACCGTCAAGAGTGAAGAAAAAGGTCAGGGATCAGAGAGTCATAGTGGAAAAGAGCAGACTCAGCTGACTAAGGAAATACAGAAGGATTAATGGATAATGTTGAAGAGTCCACTGAGACTGATCACCATCCAGCTGTGTGATTTCTCTCTAGTGACAAATCACAAAGTATTAATACAAATTTGTATATGTTATTTTTATAAAAGATAAATTACAGTCCAGCAGGTGGTGTGGTGGTTTAGACAACTGGATTCCCATGTTACTGACCACAATTCAAGTACCAGACCTAGTGGCTTAAAAATCATGCCAGATGCGTGTACATGTATGCCCAAAATCCCAAGAGAAGAATAAAGAGACTGTGGCATGACCATCCTCCCCCCCAAGGGGGGGAGGGGGTTTCTACTTTTTCTGTCTCTGTCTCTCTCTTCTCTGATGTGGGCATGCATCCTATGGCAAAAAAAAAAAAAATCTAAATGAAAACCATCCATTTTAAGTGAGTAAAAGAAAAATAACAAAAACTGAAAAGTTATCTAGTGTCTAACAAATTTCCTTCCTAAAATATCCACAAAATAAGACATAATTCTTAATGATCTACATAAAGCATACAGGCTAAAAGAAGTTTCATGCATAGAGGCAACAAATCCAAATGCAAAAATAAATAGGAATATATTAAATATTAATATGATTGTTAGGCTTAATTTATAATCAAGACATAGCTGAACCACAACTGTATACATTGGCACTAAAATGCTCACCTATAATTCTAAGACTAGACATCATTAATGTTTTTGTGTATTTCTTTCCTGCCTATAGTCACTTAAACTGAAATATTTGTGTATTTAAAGAGCAGAATTTGGATTATGCTACAGGATTTTAAACCCTAGCTTTCAATTAATATTTATTATAGCCTGTCACCCAATATTCTTTAGAAACACAAATCATGACTGTGCAACAATTTCTTTGGATAAATAATTAAGAAGAATTCAATTTAAAAAAAATTAGGTCCAAGGCACTGTGGAACAGCAGCACCAGAGGTACCCTGCAAGGTGGAAGCCATACAGCCAAGCACAGGTTCAGATCCCTAGGTCAGCGTGAAAACATGCCATGCGCATACACAAACACACGAACACATGTGAACACCCATAATCCTGAAGTGTTGGAAGGCTAGGCGAAAAGGATCATGGTGTGATGGACCCTGTTAGGGATGCTTATCTCTCTCATACACACTAATGTGCAAAGTGTCATAAAAAAGGAAAAAAGAAAAAACAATTACCTGTAAGACAAAAATAATCCTTTTCCTCTTCCTCCAACAGTTATTCCCAACACTTTTACCATTTTCAATTTTAATTATAAATAGCTAGAAAACAATTTACACCATAGTACACACAGTAGCCTTTCATATTTAAATAGATTCATTCACCAAGAAGGAAAAACACTATCCTTCACTTGGAATTACTTGTAACAGTAGAGTGATTTAAAAACAAATAGACATGGGCCAGCAGATGGTGTGAGGATTAAGGCGCTGGACACTCCTACATGGCCAAACATGGTTTGAGTCCCACATCTGGTGGCTTGCTTTCTCACTTTCCTTCTCCCTGTGTGTTTGTCTTTCTCTGGTCAAATTAAAATAAAGGAATGAACAAATGAAATTAAATAAATAATTCTTTTTTAAAAATAAAGGCAAACAGACTTAAATTATCTATTACTCGACTGTCACCACATTGACCAATTATACACATACACTCTTTTCTGTTCATATGCTATCAGAAAGCCAGCCAAGGCTGAAAGTTTTCATTAAAACAGCAAAAGTTTGTCAAGAGAAAAAAACATAAGTGGAATCTTAACAAATATTACAAAATTTACTCAATAAAGAGGCAGGATACTATCATCTCTGACTGACAGATCCATAAACTTAGATTGCATATATACTTAGAAAAAGGTCAAAGGTCTACTAAAATTAGAAACTATCAGAAACTTGGTTTTAGAACCAATAATCCTTTCATTCAAACCTGTAAGACTATGTACAGCAATTTATAGCTTACCCTGTTATACACCATATAGTAGCCCCTTGAAAATATGACCATGAGTGTGTGTGTTTTATGTACATAGTTCATATGCTCATTGAGGTATGAAAAATGCCTTGTTAAACAGTTGCTTAGAATCCCCTAAATACAGAACAATCCAATCTGAACCTACTATTGTCAAAACAGTTTCCTATTAAGAAAGTAACACATGATTCCTTTATCATATATGTGTATACATAAGAGAAAGTCAAGAACGTATCATAGCAATATATCAACAGTGGTTTTGTCCTTGGAGTGGTAGGATTAGAGGTGACTTTCTTCCTTCTTTTTGTTTATCTGTGTTTTCTAGTTTTTTCCGCAAACTAAGCTTGGATTCATTTCCATACGAAATGCTGGTTAGCAACCTCTAGATCCTTAGGGCTTTATTTGCCCAAATGGACACAGACAAACCTAAATATCCAATCTCTCTGTCTCCATGAACATACTTACATAGTATGGTTCTGCTTCCCTTTCAGTTATCTCATCCTGATACAGTGTAAAGCAAGTTGGAATTCGTCCAAACCACACATCTCGAAGCACATCTTTGTCATCTGTCATTCTTCCAGTGGTTAAAGCAGTACATATAGGCTAAATTATTTTGTCAACCTAAGCCAAGCTGAAAATAAAATAAAGAGCATTAGTCAGATCCTTGGCAAGGATAAATGAACTTACCATAAAACAAGAGAGTAAGAAAAATGAATCCATGAAAATACTCACTTAAAAAAAAATAAAAGCTGTGATTAGGCATTCTTTAGAATACAAAAATATTGGTACAATAAATTCTGAATGCAGAACATTATTTATTTAAGTGGATCATCAAAATAACCAATTTAAAATTACATATTAAAGTAATGAACCAGTAAAAATGAAACTACACCTACATCATCTTTTTTCTTTCTTTTAATTTGCTATAGGGAACATGCATTTACCAGAGAGGCAGAGAAAAAGAGAACAAGAAAGTGAGAAAGCACTCCCCAGAAGGAATAGCTACACCACAATCCCTTCTCCTCCACTCTCCTCGCAGGATTTTGGAGACACACACACACATACAGCACCAGTGTATTTTTAACTTCAGGTCTGGGACTCCAACTTATGCAGTGGGCCAGGTAGGGTTCTGCCAGTTAACCACCATACCACCACCTGGCCAGCTTCTCCCTTCCAAGGCCAGACGAGTCTATTGCTTACCTAAAGAGGACCTTCACCTATGCACTATGATCTCTGATAGTCCAACTCTAAAGCATCATTTTCACAATTACCCTGACCAATATATTCAACCTCTCCTACTTCAGACAACACTTCCTATCTTCCTATAGAAATACTCTATCTACTATACTTTTTAAAATAAACCCTCCTGCAAAAATGGTCGCTAAATGCCCGCCTTTGTGTCCTCCTAATCCTGAGGCTTAGATGCTCTTCTACCATTCAAATCCTAAACACTCTGCACTCCAAGTTCATGGTCCTTTGTCCCAAAGAAAAGCAAATGCTTCTACTCTGAACTGAAATATTCTCCCTACCACAAATATGGCACTAAAAATACAAACTTCAATAGTGGTATGGTAGAAGGATATGGCTTTTAACTTCTGTAATAGTCAAGTGTCTTCTAGCACTAATACTCTATAGTTAAATAAAAACACAATGTACTACATTAAATGCTGAAATAAATGTTGATAATAAATGCCCAGAGAAACTCAATGGGTGGCACCTAGATACTAAGATTCACTGTACTTATCCAAATCATTAATTCATAATCTGTCATAATGTATCTTGTAAAAACATTCTACATAATCATGAGTTTAGCCAAATATCAATTATTAACACTGAGTTATTGTTTCTTTTCTCTTCCACTGACCAACGTGAAGTACATAAAGATAGTTATAAATTAAAGACAGGGAAAAATGCTGGAGGTCAACTGCATACAATGTCATCTATAGGTAAATAGACTGAAAAAAGTGGGAAAAATACCTAGATGAAGGTCAAATCAGGTTAAGAACCAAGTACTTAAACCAAAGCAGTGTTATTTCTAGCATATCACAGTGTTTTAACTTTTACTAAAATATATCCATCAAAATAACTATTTTAAGCAAACATAAAATATATGAGTGCAAACTTCATATAGTTTTACCCAGATAGGTTTCAAATAAATACTGAGTTTCTACACACAGTAGAAAATTCCAAAGTTTTCAAATCACATAAAATTAACTCACTGAAAACACACACCTCATAACTTCCTAACTACACTAAAGCTTTCTCCTTTTAAATAAATTTACTAGTGGCAGGAATTAATGAAATCTGGGCAGCGATACATAAGTAAACCTAGAGTTGAATCTGATACAAAGATGGTATGCAGTGGCTTCGGTAACTGATATATCCAATTAACCAACAGCTACAAAGGCGATTCCCCTCCTGCTTATGAAGGAAAACAATTGGAGGCAAAGAACTCTCGTACCATGAGACTTTAAGAAAACCTAATTGGAATTTTTAAATTGAAACATCATTATCAATATTGTCACAATGGTTAGTTTTTCTTCTCAGAAGAAGCAGGTAGAAAATATAATTCAAGACAATTCAAAATTAAAGTGAGTATGACCATAGAAGAAAAGGCATCTCTACAGGCTATTCCTGTCTTTCCAAGCACTGTCCTGCTCTCAAGAAGCGATAATAATCTGACTGATCAGATTCCAGGACACCATTTGAGCCATGTTTATTAATAGGCAGGATCACCATAAACCAAAATACAATGCTTCCTTCTCTCCCCTCTGGGCTGCCAGATGAGTACACTGGACCACTCTGCTCTTTCTTTGCATGGCATTCTCTTCTGCTTCTGCCTTCTGCATCAGAAACAGTAAAAAGATTTGGTTCGGACCAGCAGCTGGCGTAATGGCTATGTCACTGGTCTCCCATGTAGTTGACTGCGGTGTATCTCCTTATGGCTAAAGAAGCTAGATCCCACATGCCTGACCACTGTTCAAATCTCAGCCCTAGCGGCTTGAAAAATATGTGAGGCATACATGCCCAAAGTCCTGATAGGACAGAAAAATAGAGGAGAAGAGATTATGGCATGACCATACCCTCTGGCAATTTTTAAAAATTGTGAGTTTTCAATAATCCTTTTTTAAAATAAATGCAGAAAATTGCAAGTTAACTCTTGAGAAGCACTACAGTATAGAAGTTAAAAACATAAAATGTGGACTCAGCCAAAGTGGCACGTACATAGCACCACAGCTTGGGAGCTAGCAGCTATATGGCAGGCCCAGGTTCAGTTCCCAGGCCAGCATGAACACCCAGGCACCAACTGCCTATAATCACAGTTAACTAAGAAGCTGGGGCAAAAGGACTATAATATAGCGAGACCTTGGACAAAATATCTTTCTCTCTCTCATAAAGCAGGTAGGGGGTGTTAAATGTGCTGCCAGACTGCCAGCATCCCAAACCTTGCTCTACCACTTACTATGTGACCTCCACTAAGTCACTTAACTTCTTCTTTTTTAAAAATTATTTTATTTAACTTTATTTATTCACTTATTTATTTATTTTAATTTGACCAGAGAGGAATAGAGTGAAAGAGAAATTGAGAAAGCAAGCTGCCAGGTCCAGGACTTGAACCATAGTCGGCCATGTGGGGAGTGCAGTGCCCTTAACCACCATGCCATCTGCCGGCCCCAGTCACTTAACTTCTTTGTGTCTGTTTTCTCATCTACAAAATGGGAAAACAGTACTTATCACCTTAGATTAGAATTACATTAATTAATACATCTATTAGAACACCACCTATCGTATAATAAATACTACAAAAATTATCCGCCATTATAATTTACAAATTCACTCAGCTCTAGCGGCTTGAAAAATATGTGAGGCATACATGCCCAAAGTCCTGATAGGACAGAAAAATAGAGGAGAAGAGATTATGGCATGACCATACCCTCTGGCAATTTTTAAAAATTGTGAGTTTTCAATAATCCTTTTTTAAAATAAATGCAGAAAATTGCAAGTTAACTCTTGAGAAGCACTACAGTATAGAAGTTAAAAACATAAAATGTGGACTCAGCCAAAGTGGCACGTACATAGCACCACAGCTTGGGAGCTAGCAGCTATATGGCAGGCCCAGGTTCAGTTCCCAGGCCAGCATGAACACCCAGGCACCAACTGCCTATAATCACAGTTAACTAAGAAGCTGGGGCAAAAGGACTATAATATAGCGAGACCTTGGACAAAATATCTTTCTCTCTCTCATAAAGCAGGTAGGGGGTGTTAAATGTGCTGCCAGACTGCCAGCATCCCAAACCTTGCTCTACCACTTACTATGTGACCTCCACTAAGTCACTTAACTTCTTCTTTTTTAAAAATTATTTTATTTAACTTTATTTATTCACTTATTTATTTATTTTAATTTGACCAGAGAGGAATAGAGTGAAAGAGAAATTGAGAAAGCAAGCTGCCAGGTCCAGGACTTGAACCATAGTCGGCCATGTGGGGAGTGCAGTGCCCTTAACCACCATGCCATCTGCCGGCCCCAGTCACTTAACTTCTTTGTGTCTGTTTTCTCATCTACAAAATGGGAAAACAGTACTTATCACCTTAGATTAGAATTACATTAATTAATACATCTATTAGAACACCACCTATCGTATAATAAATACTACAAAAATTATCCGCCATTATAATTTACAAATTCAGTAAGAACATGTTTCAAAAAGTATTTCAAGGTGGGAACCAGCAGTTAGCGTAATGGCTTTGTCGCTGGACTCCCACGTAGTCGACCGCGGTTCGTGTCCCGGACCCGGTGGCTTAAAACTCACGCCAGGCGCGTGTGCGTGCGTGCCCAAGATCCCGAGAGGAGAATGGAGGAGAAGGGATTGTGGCGTGACCATCCCCCCTGGGGGGTGATTTCTCGCTTTCTGTCTCTATGTCTCTCTCTGTCTGTCTGGAGAGCGCACGCGCCCTACAGTGAAAATCTCCCAAAAATAAATAAATAAATAAATAAATAAATAAAGTATTTCAAGGTCAGCACATAAAGACTTCGAGAACTAAGAATAATCAAAAGAATTACGTAATATAAACGGGCAGTATAAGAGTAAAGAAAAACAATAGTTAAAAAGTACACATTGAACAATACATACTTTGTATGTATATGATACTTACAACACATACAAATACACATACAATACATATAAACAACACTCAATAAAGAGTCCCAAACATTTGATGTTTGATATGGGGGAATACAAAATAACAAACTACAAATCTCAGTCTTGGCCCAGAAAATATTATAATTTCCAAATCTACTAAACATACCCTGCAATTTAATGTCCTGTCTGTGCCTTTGCTCATGCTGGTGGTCCCCTTAACCCTAAAGGGCCTTCCTGACCTTGTCATCCAGTTTAGAGATCCTTCAAGACTAAGCTCAAAATAGTCTTTCTTCTATGCATGACTCAGGCAGACTCCTCCGTTTCCTCACTGCACCTTTACTTTTCCTCTGTCACAGCACTTACTAGCTTACTTTAAATATAATTTTATGTGTCTCCTCCAGTAGACTGCAAGCATTCCCCAAGGGAAAAGGATCTTAACTCTCTCATCTTTTTACCTCTGTACTTGGAACAGTGTCTGGAATACAGTAGG